GCGTATAAGCACTCACCGCTGCCAAAACAACGACCACACAACCATGGTAGAGCTAGTCCATAGGCACACAAATGAGTATAGTTCCTGAGGTTATGGGCTAAGCATACCTATTGCCAGTTTCCACAAAGTCCGCCGCCGCCGCCTGTGACTCAAGGGAACCTCTGAAAAGCGGCATTTGATAGAATTCCATGCGAGTCAGAAGGAGCCTGACTAAGGCATAAAGGAGAACACTTACTGAGCAAGATGTGTCTGGGAACCCATGCATGAGTTCGAGGCCGTACCCAGATAAGGTGATGGAAGGAGGTCAAGATGCAAAATCGGCAAAGTCGAGCGCCGCCAGCTTGATATCTGAGGCTTTCTGGTTGAACCCGCCTGACTACTCCCAGTAAGTAAGGGTGCTAACCGTAGACATATATTAAGATACTCACAAGCCGCAACCTGCAAGTGGATTTGAGGTTCGGATAGACTATAGTACACTATTACATTAAGGCGATTTGCAATGCCTTCATGACGCAAGCGTATGCCGGAGTTGAGACATAGACTACATATCAGTATGTCCTCTATTTATGTCTGTTTACATCGAATAAGGCGTTCGACCGGGTCTGCCGTTCGCACCCCTTCAACTAGCTGGTAATCGCTGATACTTGCTCACATACCCGCGCTTGAACCAGAAGGGCCTAAAACGCGGTGACTGGGCTTCATGCATGACATCACGATCGATGATTCCTTGCATGTCCGGACGCGTCTGTGGCTGAAATCGATCTCCGCTCTAACTACATAGCTATTTCGGGCGTATATGCATGACTACTTCGGTCGCCGACCCTCGAGCCTTCGGGAGTGCGAGTTCAAATTTCCTAATCGGTCCAGTGACATCGTAAGCGCAAGCATACATCCCCACTCCAGCTATTGGCCATGTACACTACTACATTCTCATATTACCGTTGCTATTCACCTAACCTCCTTGGCCAACCGAGCCTCCTTCCCATCATGTATATCGTCTTCTGAGCAGCCGCTCCTGGCACCCCACGCAGGCATATTGATCGAGCCGAAGCCCGTGCAAGCCTCCATGTTGCACCCAGGTTGAAGTAAGACTCTACGCGAATCCCGTTCTCCTCTTTCTGCCAAGGACCCCCCATCGTGTTTTTACGACACACTTATCTTCCGCATTGCTCCCGGAATGGCTATTGCAGGAATTGCGGCCGAGTCCCTCCAATGGCAGGCATTGGTAACAATCGGCAAACCGGACGCGGCTATGATAGGGCCCGCTCTGATCCAAGGTTTCCTACAGTATTTGTTTCAAGGTGTGTATCCTATCTATCTAGTGAACTCCAGCGAGGGAATGAATATCCTTGACATGGGGTACAGGAGTCATCATCACGCAGGTATGGGCGCACCTCTTGCATGTCGCTCGACCGCAGTCAGTGAATCGGTTCTCGAGGTAGGCCATCAAGTTCTACGACAGATGCCAAGGAGATCCTATGACACTACGGGTATATGTCTTCATGCTCGTGCTCTTCTCGATGTACGCTCGATCTCGTTTGCATATATGCGCATACATGGGCTAACATCGGGCTTTGTGTAGAGTGCAGACTGTGATAGAGAGCTACAAAGTGTGGCTCGTGACAATCAATCTTACACACCGAGCACGTTACCTCGCTCTCCTCTCAAAAGACGAGCAGGTGTCCTAAACGTTCTCCAATAGATCTATCCCATACTGTCTACCGAGCCCCTGTGGAACGCAGTACTCTGCACTCTATGCGAGTCGTACCTCATAAGACGATGCTACAAAGTAGGTTTCAGTCTGCTCAGACGAATACGGGCTCCTCATTACAGATCTAGGTGACCCATAGGAACATTTGGGTCCTGCTCATCCTGTCGGCGCTTTCAGCCACCTCCTTCGTGGCGGTCCTCATCCTCGTCAGTGTGATCTCACTCGCATGGTTTTCGTATGTTATTACTCACAACGCAACGCATTTCATAAGACCGCGAAGATAGCTATGGTCATCGGTCCTAGCATCAACAAGGGTCGGACGGATGTGCGTGTGTGTCGGGATCGCGGAAGTTGCTCTGACGGACCGGCATACGCTCAGCTGCTGCATGCCAGCACGTACGCATACCCCCTTTGGGTGTATAGTCAACTCGCAACCGCAGTCTCGTTGACAGCCATACGTACTCGCCCATTCATCCTCCGCCCATAGTCAATCGCTCACTCGGCCTCCGCTTTAGTGTCTGTCTGCCTGTGGCGAACGAGAACGGGACTCCCCCATCTGGACCGCACCGTCGCCCGCATCATCTTCCTGACCTGGGAGACTGCAGCGCTACCCTCGATCTGCATGCTTGTTTCCGGCATCATATTCTCCATCCGTGACGCACAGGGCCCCGGGAAGACCGTTCTCGAGCGCTCACACCTCGACCTCTTCTTTGCCATCCTCGCCGGCAAGCTATATGCGCTCGGAATCCTCCGCACGCTCAACTCGCGTACCAAATTCCGCGAGCGGCTGAATTCTAGCTCTCTCGGGCGTCGCTCGCTCTCAGGGTGGCAAAGGGCCGACGACACGGCCAACTCTGCGGAATCGCGGGACATGAACGCAGGCCGAGAGGAGATGTCAACCTTAAGGGACTCAGTAGCTGAGAGCAGAAAGGATTTCGGGTCGACTTCCTCAGCCGTCCAGATGGCGGAGTGCGGTGCTGGGCTGCCGACTTCGACGGCGACGAATCCCGTAGTGACTTTCCAGCCGCCCGAGGAAGGAGGCAGACAATGGGCTGTTGGGAGTGGATCCGGCATCGAGGTGCATATGATCATGCAGTACTGGCCTATCAAATACTAACCGACCTTATTTGGTCTGTCAGACCTCTCCCGTGTTACGCCAGGGCATCTCAGTATCGCGGAACCTGTCCACAGCTCACTCCCAACCTTTTGAACCTCCTGGGTACACCCAATCTCGGGGTGGTTGAGGTGAGCAATATCAGCCATTGTCGAAGTTACGCGCTGTACGCTCACAGTATCTCTGCACAGGCTTTAATTTATCCAGGACGAGGCAATCTATTCCAATTGAGCGGGAGTGGTGATAGATTCGAAGTCGACGATACAGGGAGCCATCGAATACCCTAACTCTATTTACATTGCTGGAAGCCGCGTGCAGTCTCGTACTCCGCCTGGCACGGCTTACAATCTCGCATGCTCAGCCGGACCCGGAGGCACGCCGCTCGGGGAGTATCGCAAGGCCTCCTTGTTCTTATAGACGTCCTCGGTGATCGAGCGGTATCCCGCGACGGTCATAAGGATATCCAGGTCGGCGAGAAGACTCTTGATGACGTGCCTGCACCCGTGCACGCCTTCGTGCGACATGCCCCACACGAACAGGCGGCCGATCATGACGACGTGCGCACCGAGAGCGATCGCCTTGAAGACATCCGACCCCGTGCGGATGCCCGAGTCGAAGATGATGGTCATCTCTGCAGGCACAGACAGGCATGTGAGTGTAAGTAGCATGCTGCAAAAAGAATTGGCGCGAGAAACACAACACGCACTGTCCCCGACAGCCTCCGCGATCTCCGGGAGAACGTCCAAGCTCCCGACCGCGCCGTCAACTTGGCGGCCGGCGTGATTCGTGACCACGATGCCATCGCAGCCTATCTCGAGAGCACGGTTTGCGTCCGCAACGCTCTGAATGCCTTTCAGCACGAACGGGCGGCCGTCCGAGATCTTCTTCCATTCGCCAATAAGCCAGCGGACCTTCTCCCACGTGTGCGGCTTGCCGTGCCAGACGCTTGAGTCGATCCAGTGGCCTTTGTCCTGCGCGAGGTCGTCGTGGTGCTTGGCCATGTAAGCTGGGTCGGACTCGCCAAGTTCGTTGCCCGGCGTGCCAGGATAGTAGAACCTGCAGGTGATGTCGGCACGTAAGCACGTCAGAAGAGAAGGCATGGACGTGCGTGTAGTTGGCGATGTTGATATCTGTGGGACGCCAGCCCAGCTGCCAGGTGTCGGTGGTGAGCATGAGAACGTCGAATCCGGACTTCCAAGCGCGGTTGAGAAGAGAAAGTGTCTACGAGGAGGAGTGGAGGTAGGTACCATGCTGATTGT